TATATATATATATATATATATTATATATATATATATTATATATATATATATATATATATATATATATATATATTACATACAGACATACATATATACATACATGCATGCGTGCATACATACATACATATATACATACATACATACATACATACATACATATATACATATATACCTTTACATATATATATATATATCATATAAGATCATAGTTGTATAGGTACGCGTATAAATAGTTTTAACTCGTTTTTAATGGTCTTGTATCCATACTTCCTACCTATTCGCGACCAACACAGACCAAGGAGAGTCGTCGCAAGATACTTCCACACTAGACAGTGAGTGGGATCAACTGGATGTGCTCAGACGTGGACGTACACAGCTTGCGCAGGTACGGTACGAGGCATACAAACTTATGTCGTATATACTCTACGTACTCTGATACATGCAGAGTATGTTTCTATGAACGGTTTGTTGCGCATAAATGGCACACACACACAGTATGCTACTCGTGCATATGTTCATCATATTACCACCATTTTTTAAGAATTTCTTATATACTATTTATGTACGAGATGCTCATCAAAACCTGTTCTGTTTTATACGAAACCTCAGTCCCAGCAGACAAGAACCCCTGTCAGAAGCTCTACTCGTGAACACATGGATCAACCCCATGCAGAGCCTTTGGTTAGCCAAGTCACTAGCACGACTGCATCACTCGAACCAACTTACGGAGAAGTTGCTAGTGACACAAGCATGCCCCACTCAGGACTACTGACCCAGCAGGAACTGCGAGCTCGGCGTGTGGCGAGATTCGATAAATCGTAGTGTGATATATGTTTATACATAATGTATATATGTTTACACATATTGTATATATGTTTATACATATTATATATGTGTTTATACATATTTTATATGTGTTTATACATACTATATATATGTTTATACATGTAGCATAGACCATGGTGTGGTACACATGTGCATGGCATACCACGCCTATGCCAATGGGATTAAGCACAGGAGGTGCCGTGTGGAGTGAGGGTATTAATTCCTTTACCAATAGATCCCTTCTCCGAATACACCTCTACGGGCCACGGTTTGTCTCAGTAACCGTTCACGGACTTTAAGACTATGAACTAGAAGCCCCCATTCCACGCGATATAAACCGTGGTACACAGCCGGCGATGATAGTATGTTTCATCGCAGGGCTATCTGAGTATGCGACCATGACATGTAGGCGAGGGCACTGCTTGTGTGTAGGTTAAGAGGCCTCGAGAGCACTCGTGCGTAAACCATGTAGGATAGTACCAGAGTATGTCTACACTGGTGATTGCAGCCACCGTACTATATATATATATATATATATATATATATATATAGGTAATTGCGGAGAAGGCTCGATTTGACCTTACCACTGATACCGCGCAGTAGCCCAATGGATGGGATAGCAAACTGCTCGCTACCATACTTCCACTCAATGAGATGAGACCAGAACAAAGCAAACACCAAGGTTGACAACCAGCTACTTGCCAGCACTATCACCACGTTGCATGAAGCGGCAACCGTGTATCTGCAGTGACTCCGCTGACAAGTATAGTGCAGAATGCACTCGGCACAGAGTTCAAGAGGAAGCTTTGTGGACTGGATGCGCAAAGTCAAGCAGTACATGAGACTGAAGAAGCAAATAAACATAACGTAAACGCGTTTATCACCTTTCACAGCACTGCCCGCCCCTATCACTACATGAAGTTGCACAATGGATCTACGTTAAATACGCGTAAACGCGTTTAACCCTATTTACAGTACGGCCACTACCACTACATGAAGTTGCACATATAGACCTACGTTAAATACGCGTAAACGCGTTTAACCCTATTTACAGCACAGCCACGGCCACTACATGAAGTTGCACATATAGATCTACGTTAAATACGCGTAAACGCGTTTATTCCTATTTACAGCACAGCCACTACCACTACATGAAGTTGCACATATAGATCTACTGTAAATACGTTCACCGCTATTCATTCCAAGTTTATGTTGTAGTACGAATTACTGATATCCCGTAGCTCATAGCAACAGTATCTAAATATGATAAGTTATGCGATAGCTGAAAAGATTAACCATTAAGTAAAAGATGCTCAGATTAAACAACTCATGGTAAACATATCTTGGTACAAGTATCTACATTTTGTTGTTGTACAAGTATCTACATATTGTTGTAGTACAAGTATCTACACATTGTTGTAGTACTAGTATCTACATATTGTTGTAGTACAAGTATCTACATATTGTTGTAGTACGATTTACTGATGTCCGATAGCTCAAAGATTAAACACAATAAAACAAGTATCTACGTATTGTTATAGTATGAGTTACTAATGTCTCATAGTTCATAGTAAAAGTATCTAAATATGATAGTTGTGCGATAGCTGAAATGGCCATCAACATGCTCGGATTAAACAGCTTGGGAATAGTACCTATATATTGTTATAGTACGAGTTACAATGTCACATAGCTCATAAAAATGAAATATAAGATGGTCAGATTAGAGTTGATGATGTCTCATAGCTCAAATTATTGTCTACACCAAAAAGGAGTATAAGCTAATCAAAATGAACAGAATATTTAATTGTCAAGCTCCTTTATTTCAATGAAGTCTACTTTACTTCGTACCCATTCAACATCAATTGTCACTCCACCAACCTCTTACGAACTTCAGCAGTGTCCGTGTAGCCTCATTATATGCATATTCACAACTGGGCCTCGCTGTCTGGTCTGAGGCGCCAGTGGTGAACACCTTTTCGCTCAGCCACCCCATTCACAGATGTACATCAACTCCAGCCCAGGCGATTGGTGGCGTTGCGTAGTCCGAATTCATACGTGGGTCAAGACGATAATTTCTCATTCGTAAGGGCGGACCTGCGCACGTAATGTGCAGCAGGTGGATAGAGCACATACAAGTGGCAACTATCCATTAACCTTTATACATTCTCTTTGTACTAAAGCATACATTAACCTTTATACATAAAATCTCTTTTGTCGATTGTACTACAGTATATCGATATAATAAGGTATGCAAATCAATTATACCACGGTCTACAAGTAAACAAGCATCTTTCTATATGGGCAAAGCTACGTTTCAAATCCACTTACTTAGTTTGATTGACCGATAAGGAGTTCAGCGTAACATACACAATTTATGAGAAGCCGTAGCTACATGGTTGATTGTGACTAGCTATTCCAGAGAAGCGCGACAAGTCATTACTACAAGACATGCAACTATCTAGAACATACACTAGTACAAACATCTACAAACCAGTGCAGCAAATACATCTTACATGCACTCTACAGAAGACAGTCCCTCGGTCAAGCCTGGATTGGGCGGATAAGCGCAGAGATGCATCGATGCGTTAGGTCGACTTGATTCGATTTGATACCATCTCATCTCCTCTCATCACAATTCCTTCCGCTCGGGTTCCGCTTAAATTCATCCCGACCTCCAATGTGATGGTATAAATGTACAACGCCATGCACAAAAACATTGCAATCGAGAACGAAGTAACAAAACTATAGCACATCTATGTCACCCACAATTTCACTTTGTACCATCTGCAAAGTCACATTGAAACAGAAACTCGCTCACTCATATCTATCGACCACAAAAAAAGCAGAATATAGGTACCCCAAATAACATCACACTTCGGCTTGGGTACAGCTCAGGACGATTATAGGTGTTGCACAAAGTGTCTAACCATATAAACTTTATGCGCAGAAAGTATAATAAAATATGGGACGAGATATTTCGCTTCAAGGCCTTTTTAATATCCACAAACCATCGTATACAGCATTGCAGACGCTACATAAGGGAGACTGCACGAGATAAAACACTTTTGACATGTTCCTCCGGTCTAGTTTGCATGTTGTATTCGTGGTTTGCTTCACCCATACAACATACCTGTCGTCCTCCGCAACTTACCGTGCATCCTGGTCATATCCCAAGTCCCCCTTGCTTCCTCGTATCTGCATGTATCAACAAAAGTAGATGGATATGTTGAGTTCACGAATATACACACAATACAAGTCAGCACAACAAATTTAAATCATCCCCATCCAAGAGCGAGGGCACGAACAAACAAGCAAAGCAGCAAACGAATTTACCTTGTACTTTGGGTGTACTCCCCTTTCAGTGCAAACCAGCATAGAACCTGAGAAGATAATTCAACTAATCCTTTGTCTCGGGAAATTGGGTCACAAATGACGACAACGACCTCAGGAAACGTTTGTAACTTATGTAGGCGTAGGCGTCATTCTCAACCAGGCCTCTCATCGACACTTCAGTGATCTCTGACACACAAGTGATCTCTCAAGGCTCCCGACATTCATAGGCTGCGGCATCACTGTGATGGATTCGGTGCTGCATACGCTGTGTGCTTCTATCTACTGTTCACTGCTACTACTCGTGACGACTAGTGATTTACTTCATATTTCAGGTCAGCGTTACTGATTTACTACCACCTTCTACGCATATGCGTATGCTATTTTGAAGTATTCGTGTTTGATTTGCTACGAGCATTGTGCTACGCGTTTAGTACGTTGCTGTTTTGTTGCGAGCTTCGTATCCTATTTGCGTCCCTGGTATCGACCCCAAAACGTAAACTCATTTCCCTTTCAACCATTTTGTTCTATGGGTATTTCTCCTACTGGTCTACGGTACTACTCCTCTACTGTATTGTCAATACGATATCGTAACTACGCACAGTGTGCAAGATATACTGGTAAGTCGCCCCCAATTACACTTCCCAATGGGCCTCGTCCGACGCTAATACACAAGAGGCGATATACTTACATACCAACTATCCGCGGCGCTGCGGATCTACACGTTGTTTCATAGGGCATCATCATCATTATTCCGCACATGAGGCATATTATCAGTGGCACGCGAAAGCTTCACACATTTACGCTAATACACAAGAGGCGATATTCTTTCCTTACTTCCATACCAACTATCTGCGGTGCTGGGGATCTACACGTTGTCTCATAGGGCATCATCATCATTATTCCGCACATGAGGCATATTATCAGTGGCACCCGAAAGCTTCACGCATTTGCACAGCAGGCTGAAGAGAAGTACACGGCATGGCTCACGAAGTCTATCAGCAGTGGCACACGAGGCCATGACAGGTTGCACACGAGGCGGAAGACTGGCACACAAAGCCAATGACTCACAAGGTCATCACAACAGCACGCGAGGTTATGACATTGACTCACGAGGTCACCACAATAACACACGAGGTTATGACATGGCACACGAGGCCGGTATAAATGCACACGAGGCTGACGAGCGGCACACGAGACCGACACTGGCTGGTCAAGAACAGGGCACGGACTGGCACGGACTGGCACTACTAGTCACAAGCAACCGAGGCTATCAACTGGCTGTCAACTGGCTGTCAACTGGCACACGAGGCCATCACTGGCTCACACGACGGCGGAGAAGGTCACACAAGGTCACCACGGCTACACGAAGCTCTCTCTCTTGGCACACGAGGCCGGCACAAACTTAAGACGGGAAAATCTTTATCACACAAGGCGAACAAAGTGGGGGATCGGCTACACTACCTCAAAGCTGTGTATATACATGACTGGCTGAACTATCGGCTGCGAAAGGGCGCACAAGGCAAACCACAATCTCATACGGATCAACTCTGGATACATGAGGTCGAACTCTTCAAACAGGGGCAATTTTAGCACACGAGGACATCGCAACCATCACAATATCGGTATACAGGGCTCAAACAGTGCTAATTTTGACACACGAGGCCAAAAAAAAACTGTCCATTCGCGTATCTGGTGGGCGCTAACTTCACAGTTACCTTCAGAAAGGGGATTACCATAATCTCGGTAAACAAAACACACGGGGCCATTGCACCTTGTCAAACTTTTCTCCGACACACAAGGCCGGCATAACCTCGCGGAAAACTCACATAAAGAGTTAATCGTAGAAAACGAAGCCGTTACAAACTCACATGCGGACATTCTTGACACCGATCTCAAATAGAGTTACCCCATTGGCACAAAAGAATCGCTGTGCTATAGCCGAAGGCCGACGAGCGTGACCATACAATGCGTAAACATCACACGATGTAAGAGGAGTCAGAAAGTTATCGAAGCAGGCTACCAATGTAATAGGGACATTGCTCTTAATGCTAGTTGCAAACACAAAATGTGTAAGACTGGCGGAAGAAACGACAGTGTCACTGAATTATAAACGTCGTTTCTTCAAACTGACGAAGATTCGAGGAATGAAAGCGGCGTTATGGATGGCGACTTGTGTGGGCTGTGGCGAGTTTCGACTTTCGACTTCTCAATCATCAGTTCTCAGTTTCTCACCGAACCAAACGGAACAGCATTTGATCTAAATTGATCTCTCTTGGAGTAAAATTTCAACGTACTTTCTCATTGGCCCTTGCCAATTCGGACGCGTCATGGAAAATTGGAAGTTATAAATTGATATTCTCTTTTTTATGTTCTCTATTTTATTTTCTTGTTTTACAAAAGGTCGATGTTCCATTTGTTTGTTTGTTTTTTTTAAAAGCAAGAAATGGATGTATAAATTATAGTTTTTTGTTCTACAAATTGAAAATTCATTTATTTCGAGAAACTGTGACAAATAAAAACACAGATCTTTTCGAATGTTGTTGTTGACTTGTTGTTGACACATTTTTATCTATTTTTTTAAAAATGATAACTTAAAAATGATAATAAATGAAACCCATACATAAATAGTTCTGGAATCTGGATTCACGATTCTAATTTCTGGAATGAGACAACGAATACAACAAACGAATACCACAAAAATGAT